CCTCCGACCCGCCGGGTTGCCTGCCCCCGGCTGCCTGTCCCCCGCTGCCTGCCCCTTCCTCTTCACAGGGCGACCGGGGATTCGATGGGCAGCAGGGAGCCAAAGGAGACCAGGGGGAAAAAGGAGACCGGGTGAGCGGGCTGGAAGGGGATGGCATGTGTTGCACTGCATTGCTTTTACCAGGATTCGGCCTTGGTCAGAAGCATATCAGAGCCCGATGCTCCTAAAAGAGCCGTCCAGCACTGCTCTAAATTATGGCACTAAACTATAAGTGACAACAAATCCCCACTCTTTACAAGAAGGCACTGGTGCCAGTGCTTCGGGGATGCCCAGCTGTGGGGTCGGAGGATGCCCATGGTGCCTGCTCTGGGGCTGGGGGGCTCTGACACCCCTGGCGTCACCCTCTGCTCTCCCACAGGGCGCCCCGGGCATTATTGGTGGCCCTGGTCCCCGGGGTAGTGACGGTGCTCCTGGCCCCCCTGGGCCCCCTGGGAGCGTTGGCCCACGAGGTCCTGAGGGCATGCAAGGCCAGAAGGTGAGTCCCCACCACGGGTGGCCAGTCCCCCTCCGGGTGCTGTGAGGAAGAGAGGGCCCTGTCCCCGGACTAGGTGAGGGGTTGGTGGCATCAGGAGCCATATCCCAGCTCTGTCCCTGCCCTGCCAGCTCACTGGCTTTAGGGTCCTCCCTTGTGTCCCCCTGCCCAGTGGATGGGAGTCTGGCGGGTTGGGACCCTGCTTGTCTTGGGGCTGAGCTGGACCCATCCCCGTCCCCATCTCCACTTGCACAGGCGTCCCCGGGGTGCGGGGACAGGGAAAGCAGCACATCCATGGTGCTGGTGAGAGCAGAGAGGCTCCAGAACCACCAGCCAGATCCCGAGCATGTGTCCTTTGCAGGGGGAAAGAGGCCCCCCTGGACAGTCGGTGCCAGGGGCCCGTGGCGTGCCTGGCATCCCCGGCGAGAGAGGAGAGCAGGTGGGTGAGTGGGTGCCTGGCCCTGCCTGGGGGAGCCCCAGCCAGGACCAGCCTCTCACCTCCCTTTTGCTTGTCCCTAGGGCAGTCCCGGCACCCAGGGGGTCCGTGGGGAGAGGGGGGAGCCGGCCATGACGGTAAGGAGCCAGGAGGGAGCTGGCACAGCCTCTCAGCGCTCAAGTCACCGGGGTGGGAAGGGGTGCTGGATCCATCCCACTGCCGCTGATGGAGGGGCTACCCCCACCTCCGGGCTCTGCTGGGCCCTGGGGAAAGGGTTTTTCTTCCTCTCTAATTGCACCATCCCCCATTGCAACATGCGTCCTTTGCCCCTCCGTGTGGCTGGCAGGAGGAAGAGATCCGCGCCTTCGTCAGGCAGGAGATGAAACAGCACTGTGGTGAGCATCCCTCACTGCTGCCCCGGGGCTGGGGATCTGGGCCCCGCCGCCCCTGACCCCCTGCCCTGTGTCTCTTGCAGCCTGTGGCGGCCATTTCCCACGGCACCTGGATTCACGTGAGCACTCAGGTTGCGACTCTCCCTTCCTACCCCCTTTCCCCTGCCCTGTGTGTGTGGCACCGAAGGGTTCCCGGCACCCAGGTGTGCTGCTGGTTTTGGGGGCGCTGGAGGCGGCTGGAACCCTCCAGAACCCCCTCGGTCAGGGCCAGCATCAGCGTGGGAGTGTGAGCAGGGAGAAGGGATGGTGCGCGGCAGAAGTGATGGCACAGCAGGGATCCCCAGGGGCAGCCAGCTCAGCATGGTGCCAATGGGGTCAGGGCACTGGCAGGGTCCGCCCGATCAAGAAGGGACCATGGGAACCGCGCCCCATCCATGCTTGGGTGCCGGAGCCAGGGCAGGCGAGCTTGCAGGGGCCAGGACTGCTGGAGGGGAAGAGTGGGCTGGAGGAGTGGGATGGAGGGACGGGGTCAAGGGGTGGGCTGGGATGAGGTGGGTGCTTTCTCTCCAAGGAGGCTGGGGGGCTCAGGCCAGGAGCAGCCTCCCGTCTGCCCAGGGAGGAGGAAGAATTGTCCGCCAGCAGAGGGAGCACGGCCAAACAGGTGATGGAGAGCCCGGAGGACCTACAAGATTTGGCCCCGTGGGGACGTGTGCCTCCCCGTGCCCATCGTCATCCCCATCCTGCTGGGCTCCCAGCGGGCGCTGTCTCACCGGGCAGCAGATCCTCTTGCCTGTCCCTCCTCCGGCAGCCCCCAGCAGCCGTGGTCTGTGGTGCAGAGACAGGAGGGGGTGTCCCCACGTCCCCCATCTCTGGCTGTGTACCCCGGCATGCTGCAGCAGTGCTGGGGCAGTGCTGGGCTGCTCAATGCCTGCAAGGGGTGGTTTCCCCCTGGGAGACAGGGGGGAAGCACCCCAAGCCCCCTCGCCTCCTCCCTGATGCCTGCGCCATGTCCTTCCCCCTCACAGGGCTCTTCTCCACCCAGCCATTCCCTGCTGGCAGCGCTCACGCAGTCCCTGTGCTCAAGTTGTCACACGCTGAGGAAGAGGAGGGTGAGTGTCATCCCTGTGCTTTTAGTCCCCATCCCCCTTTTCCCCTGCTCCATGTGTGTGGCCGGTCATGTCCCTGCCCTCCACTTGCAGGCACTGAGGGATAATCCATCAGTGGCTGTGCTGCCGGTCTCAGGGGGCTTTAATTAAAGAGCGCGGAGAGGAGAGGGCAGCAAGGACTGTGTGCGCATGCGTGTGTGTGTGTGCAGGCATGCACAGGTGTGTGTGTGTGTGCTGTGTGTGTGTAGGCATGTGCAGAGCCAGGACCGTGCGTGGGGGGAGCAGGAAGGAGGGGACGGAGCGGGAGGCGAGGGCTGCTCACGCCTGGCACTGTCTCCCAGGGCAGGACAGGCAGGTCATGCTCAACACCGACGACCTTGAGTACGAGAGCATGTATGGAGAGGAGGAGGATTACGATGAAGTCCCAGAGATGGACAGCTCAGAGCAGCCCACAATGGGAGGTGAGCTTCCCTGCACCTGCCTGGCATTGAGGATGGAGCCACCGGGGGTGACGCGGGGCTGCCTGGGCTTTGCTGGGGTGATGCCTCCACATCCTGCCTGACAGCGGGTCGCCGTGCCTTCTGGCTGGGGGGATTTGGGATTTGCAGCCCTCTCGCTGGCACCCAGGCAGGGTGCGCGTTCTCCATCACAGCACTGTGCCATGCACACTGTGCAGACCTTGCACTCTGTCCCCCTCACCGAAGCTGTCACCGGCAGTGACGGGTGGTTTGCTGGGCCAGTGGGACTGCAGGTGGCAGGTTTCCTGTAGTCTTGGTCATGAGCCACAGAAGGGGATCCCAAAGCCCCCAGGAGAGCAGGAAAGCCCCGGTGGCAGCAGCTGCATGCAGAGGGTCCCTCCAGTACCCTTCCAAGGGACCCTGTGGCCATCATGTCCCTGTGCCACCTCCCTCCCAGCTCTATCTCCAGCCTTTGCTAGGAGCTGCCTCTGGGAGAGGGCTTGCCCAGAGTGGTGTCTCCTGCCCTCACTCCCAGCATTTGGGCAGGGCACGGAGATGTCCCCTCCAGCCAAACCGTGCCCATGCTTAGCTGGGAGCCATTTCTGGCTTCCCCTTCTGGGGTTTCTCCTCCTCTGCTGAGCGGGTCCAACTGCCTCCACCACTGGTGTGCTGCCGGCTCCTGCCTGTGCTCACCATCACCGTTTGCCCCCCGCAGCCGAGCCCTGCAGCCTGCCGCTGGATGAGGGGGACTGCCAGCGCTACACGCTGCGGTGGTACTACAACCAAAGAGTCACCGAGTGCCGGCCCTTTGTCTACAGCGGCTGCCGGGGCAACCTCAACCGCTTTGACAGCAAGGAGGAGTGTGAGCTGCACTGTGGGCAGCGCCCAGGGGCAGGTAGGCATGGCATGGCATGGCCACCAGCACCGGCAGGTCCGGCAGCATCCCCACCCAGTGCCATGAGTTTGGCCGATGCAGAGCCAGGGGGACAATGCTGGTCCCCC